GGAGGAGGAGGGGCAGGAGGAGGACGAGGCGGAGGAAGTGGAGGAGGAGGAGGATGAGGAGGAGTAGGTGAACCACTCCCAGCGAAGTGTCGGCATCAGGGGTCAGGGGGTGTTCTTAGCTGCTCAACACAGGCAGCGCGTACGGAGGTAACTACGGAAACACGTACGCAGGCGACTATGGAGGCAAGCGTTCTCCTCCTCCTCCTCCTCCTCCTCCATTCTCCCTTCTCGTCGTCGTTGTCGACGTCGTCCTCCTCCTACTCCCTCTTCCGCTGCCCCTGCTTCTGTAGGTGGTGCCGCTACTCCTCCGGTAGCTGCTGATCCTTTTCCTCGCTATCTTCCTGCTTCTGCTCCTCCTCCTCTTTCTCCGCCTCCTCCTGCCCTACCACCTCCTGCTCCTCGTCCTCCCTGCTGCTGCTGCTGTTTCCCTCATCATCATCATCCCCCTCCTCCTCCTCCTCCTCCTCCACCTCTTCTTCCTTCCCCCCCATCCTCCTCGACCTCCACCCTACATCCTTCTCGTCCGCATCCATCCCTCCTCCCTTTTTCCTGTCCGAAGAGCCTGACGCGTTACCGGCGCCAGGAGTACATTTACACCCCGCAGGCGTTCCTTCACGGCTCTTGGCGCAATTTGGCACCAGACCATGTGCTGTTATTTCGGGTTCACGGGAGACGGGAATTCATCCAGTGCTGCGGTCCCAGCAGGTAAAAACGATATCAGGCAGTCGAAACAGGCGCTTCTCTCCCTCCTCCTCCCCTTCCTCTTGCCCTCCACGTGGTCGTTTTATGCTTCTCCTGCTCCTCCTCCCTTTTCCCCTCGCCGTTTCTCTTATTCTTCCCCTCGCGCACGCGCGCAAATTCAAGGCAACTGAGGTTCGCCGCGTTTCCCAGAAACGAAGAGAAAGACGGACCAATCAGGAGAGAGTGAGCAAGAAGGAGGGAAAAAGGGCAATGGTGTAGTGGCGCATGTTACAGATAGAGCAGTCGGCGCTACGCTCCATCTAAAGGTAGGGGTCGATGAGCGCAAAGAGGAAGGCCATTTCAGGGTCCAAGATCCCGTCCCCCCTCTTCCCCAACGGGCAAAGCACATGGTTACCTCACCTCCTCGAAGATAGCCTGGGCCTGGCTCGTGCACATGGCCCTGCGTGGCTGTTGTGGCCTACGAACCATCCTCATTTCTGCCATCGAGTGTGACATGGGGATGAGAGACGTCACATCTCTCTCCTGTTCGCCTCTCCAATATCACACGCGCACTGCTACAACGAATGCTCAACAAGTTGTCGCGCTTCATGCTGATGCTGTGGCACATACACTGATGTACGTGATGGAAACGAGCACGGGGCTTGCCACATAACACGCTCAGCTGTGGAGAAGGAGTTATTTGGTGGGGGTCAGCGGAAGGGAGTCAAGTCGACTGGAGTGCTCCTTGATAGTGGATATCTTATACTTCCGGCATTGGTGGAGCACGATCATCGTAGTCCTCAACAGCTCGTTGCCGATCCTAAGTTGGACCACTTCCTTGTTTTTCCCAACCATCCTGTGGTGTTGGGTGCTCGTTTTGAAGAGACGGTCCCCGCGTTCCTTCCTTCCTTCGTTCCTTCCTTCCTCCTCCCCCTCCTCCATCATCCCATCCCTGCCTCTGCCCTGCGCATGTCCTCGTCGTCGTCTCCCTACCCAGCACAGCGTTTCGCTGCCCCATGGAGAGCTACACCGAAGGGGGTCCAGTGGCGGTGTCCACATGCGTTTCCCCCACACAGCACAGCGTTTTGTGGCCCCATGGGGAGCTCCACTGAAGGCCCGAGTGGCGGTGCCCACATGCGTCTCCCCCACCCAGCATAGCGCTTCGTCGCCCCATAGGGAGCTCCATCTGAGGCCCCAGTGGCGGTGTCCCCATGCGTCTCCCCCATGCAGCACAGCGTTTCGTGGCTCCGTGGGTAGCTCCACCTATGGCACCAGTGGCGGTGTCCACACGCGTCTCCCTCACGCAGCACAGCGTTTCCCCACGGGGAGCCCCACTGAAGGCCCTAGTGGCGGTGTCCACATGCGCCTCCCCCACACAGCACAGCGTCTTGTGGCCCCATGGGGAGCTCCACCGATGGCCACAGTGGATGTGTCCACATGCGTCGCCCCCACGCAGCACGGCGTTTCGTGGCCCCATGGGGAGCTCCACCGATGGCCACAGTGGATGTGTCCACATGCGTCGCCCCCACGCAGCACGGCGTTTCGTGGCCCCATGGGGAGCTCCACCGATGGCCACAGTGGATGTGTCCACATGCGTCGCCCCCACGCAGCACGGCGTTGCGTGGCCCCATGGGGAGCTCCACCGATGGCCACAGTGGATGTGTCCACATGCGTCTCCCCCACGCAGCACAGCGTTTTGTGGCCCCATAGGGAGCTTCACTGAAGGCCCGAGTGGCGGTTCCCACATGCGCCTCCCCCACCCAGCATGGCGTTTCGTGGCCCCATAGGGAGCTCCATCAGAGGCCCCAGTGGCATTGCCCGCATGCGTCTCCCCCACACATAGCAGCGTTCCGTGGCCCCACGAGAAGCTTCATCTAAGGCCCCAGTGGCGGTGTCCACATGCGTCCCCCCCCCACACAGCACAGCGTTTCGTGGCCCCACGGGAAGCTCCACTAAAGACCCCAGTGGCGGTGTCCACATGCGTCTCCCCCACCCAGCAGAGCGTTTCGTGGCCCCATGGCGAGCGCTCCACCGATGGCCACAGTGGCGGTGTCCACATGCGTCTCCCCCAGGCATCACAGCGTTTCGTGGCCCCATGGGGAGGTCTCCCCACGCAGCACAGCGCTTCGTGGCCCCAAAGGGAGGTCCACCCAAGGCTCGAGTGGCATTGCCCGCATGCGTCTCCCCCACCCAGTACAGCGTTTCGTGGCCCCATGGGGAGCTCCATCAGAGGCCCCAGTGGCGGTCTCCACATGCGTCTACATCCCCCACATAGCACAGCGTTTTGTGACCCCACGGGGAGCCCCACTGAGGGCCCCAGTGGCGGTGTCCACATGCGTCTCCCCCACCCAGCACAGCGCTTCGTGGCCCCATGGTGAGCTTCACCGATGGCCACAGTGGCGGTGTCCACATGCGTCTCCCCCACGCAGCCTATGGCCCCAGAGGCGGTGTCCACGTTCGTCTCCCCCATCCATCACAGCGTTTCGTGGCCCCATAGGGAGCTCCACCTGAGGCCCCAGCGGCGGCGTCCACACGCGTCTCCCCCACGCAGCACAGCGTTTCGTGGCCCCGTGGGGAGCTCCACCTAAGGCCTCAGTGGCGGTGTCCACGTGCGTTTCCCACACCAAGCACAGCGTTTCGTGGCCCCATGGGGAGCTTCATGGAAGGCCCCAGTGGCAAAGTTCTCATGCGCCCCGGTGGCAATGTTTGCATGCGTCTGCCCCGTTCAGTCCAGCGTTCTGTGGCCCGCCTCCGAGTTACAACAACAATGGCTTCCGCCTGATATTTCCTCACAATGTATTTCGAATGCGCGCTCTCGTGCGGGAATTCTGTACAAGTTATGCAAGCATCGCGCTCTCGCGTGGGACCGCCTCGCAACTTATTCAGGCGTCGCGCCTCCAACCTTCAGAATTAATGCTCTCGCTTTGCTTTTCTTATGGCTTATTCGGGAATCGCGCTATCGCTCGAGACTTCCTCGGGATTCATGCCCGTCTGGTTCAGACGCGTGTTTTCTGGTACTTGCCCCCCTCCTGCTAATCTTTTGCGTGCTCCATCCTTCTCCCTTCCCTGTTTATCAGTCCTCTCTCCCTGTGTCTAAGGGGCTGCGCCACTTACGCGCGGGAGATAGGGAAGATGTCCCCCAAGGGGGGTACGATCGAAAACGAATAGGGCGGGTACCGAGGGTATGGGATATATGTGTTTAATGGCATGCGAGCAGATTAGAGGGGATAGTCTTAACATGGTTGTTGTTGTTTTTGGTGTTGTTGAGCTCTTTTTTCTAAATGATAATTTTTGTTGGTCTCCCACGGTAGCCATTGTATTTGTTCAATTGAAGTGCCCCCCTCGGGGCCCACACCTTGTTTTCATCAGGGAAAGTTTGGTGTCACCAAACGGTGTCTTTGGCCCCCGGTTTAGAACAACAGCGGCTCCTGCTTCACACGTCGTCATTTTTTTTTAGCCGCGCTCTCGTGCGGGAGTTTCTCACAAGTTATGCAGACATCGCACTCTCGCGTGGGACTTACTCCCTTGCGATTTATTCAGACGCCGCGCCTTCGACACTCAGGAATCACGCTCTCGCTCTGGCTTTTCTTACTATTTACTTGGGAATCGCGATTACGCTCGAGCTCTCCTCGCGATGCATGCAGTACACACCTTTCATCAACACGCCTTCTCGACCTGGCCGCTTGGGCCCGCCTTCCCGACCCGCCCGTTGAGGTGTACCCCCCCGATGGGCCCGTCTGGTTCTGCCACGTGCTTTCTGCTCCTAGCCCCCCTCCTGCTAATCCCGTGCTCCATCCTTCTCCCTCCCCCTTCCATCCGTCCTCTCTTCCCGTGTTTCAGGGGCTGCACCAATCATGCGCGGCACGTAAGGAGGACGCATTCCCACGGGGGTACGATCGAAGACGAAACAGCGGGTACCGAGGGTTTGGGATATACGAGTTGAGTGGTGCGCGAGCAGGTAAGAACGAACAGTCTTGAAATGTTTATTGTTGTTGTAGTTGTTGTAGTTGTAGTTGTAGTTGTAGTAGTAGTAGTAGTAGTAGTAGTAGTAGTAGTAGTAGTAGTAGTAGTAGTAGTAGTAGTAGTAGTAGTAGTAGTAGTAGTAGTAGTAGTAGTAGTAGTAGTAGTAGTAGTAGTAGTAGTAGTAGTAGTAGTAGTAGTAGTGTAGTAGTAGTAGTAGTAGTAGTAGTAGTAGTAGTAGTAGTAGTAGTACTAGTAGTAGTAGTAGTAGTAGTTGTTGTTGTTGTTGTTGAACATTATTTATTCTAAAGAATAATTATTGTTGGGCCCCCTGGTGCGCGCCCCCCTGCGCCGCCTAGGCCGCAGCTACATTTTCATCATTTTCGTGAGGAAGCCTCAGAAAAGAGGGTGTGTACAGGATCCGGTTGTTTTGTTGTAATCCGCTTTCCCTTGCAAAAAACAATAGAAAATGACATTTCTTGTTCTAATATAATCAAATTTCAAGAATCCCTTGCAAAAAATAAGGTAAAGTGGACATTCGC